GTTTTTCGCCCCTACGGAGCGAGCGTTCCAGTTGGCGATCTTTATGGGTTCACGGTCCATAATTAGCGACGAAGGAGATGATAGCTTGGAGCTGTTGTGTTCTTGTTGCGCAGGTGCGCTTGATGATGATGGCCTGGGCCAACAGTGTGACGATCTCATCCGTTGACAGCGGAGAATCGTCTGTAGCTTCACCGGTTGTACCGGCCAATTCCGGAGCAGGGGGATCCGTCGATGGCCCGGAGGCTTGACCGGGTACTGCAGCGGCAGCCAACTGGGCAGCAGCCAACTGTTGGTTGAGCGGGAGCGGCGGCAACACTGGAATTGGCCGTGATTGGACCGGTGATAACGGAGGAAAGTTCTGCGCGTTGTTTTCTGGAACCTTCTTGCGACCGGGCTGGCTGTTGGACGAGGCCTTCTTCCGGATCTCGGCGTATTCGGCCCGCTTCGGACAGGCCTTACTCGTGGCCTTGTGGGCGGCACCGCAGTTGGCGCATGTGGGAGTGGCTTCCTCGATGCTGTCGCAGTTGTCGATCTTGTGGTTTTTGCCGCATTTGATGCAGCGGCTGGCCATGCGGAAATTCCTGGAGCCGTGCCCGAACAATAGGCAGTTCGAGCACTGAGTGACGCCACGGTGGGTGGGTTTATACCGCTTCCACTTCACTACGATGTGGAACAGTGTGCGTGTCGTCTGGAGATCCTTCACGGTTGTGGAGTTCTTCTCCAGATGGACCAGGTAGAGCTGGTCACGATACTTGATGGCCTTGCTGCGGGTCATCTTGTGGACTTCGACCGGCTTGAGGCCGTTCGCCTTAATCTCGTCCATTAAGGTGGTGGTGTCCATGTCGTGGAGCCCGCGCAGCACCACTTTCAGCGGCTTGGTGGCCTCGATGTCGTGGGAGAAGTACTCCAGCTTCATTCTGTCCAAGAGGGCCTGAACTGCGTTGAAGTGTTTTTCGGCCGGGACCATCAGTTTGTAGCCTTCCGTGCACCGTTGAATGGTGCAGCGAAGGCCCTGCTTAATGTAGAAATCCAGCTGCTCCCATAGCCCGGGAGGGAAGCCCTTCACATAGAAGGGTGGCAACTTAACTTTTTTCGGCACCGTCTCAGGGTCCGACTGCGGCTGCGCTCCGTTCTGCAGGGCGGAGAACGGATTGTTGCTCAGCAGCTTTTTTGCTGCTGATACGGTGGCGCTGCTGTCTTCAGGTCTGGGTCGTTTAGTTCCGGGAGGCCCCGGCTGCGGGTCCGCAACGCCTGTCGGGATGGGCAATGGGGTTTTCTTCTGCTTCTTCTGGGCTGGCTCGGTGGTCGCGCCGTCTCCTGGGAGAGTCTGTTTTCCCGGTAAACCGGCACTCGCGTTACCGCGCGATTTCTTACCCATGGCTGGGTCAGCGAGAGCGTCACTACACAACGCGGAGCTAATTCGACTTGCGAACGAACGAACGAAACTAGAGAGAATTCAAATCGACTGAACTGCTCAACAGTCTGGCAGCGAATGTGAACTGACCATCTCGTGGATGAGCAGAGGCACGACAGCAGCGCTATTTTGTATCTTTTCAGGTTCAAGAAGAACGATGTGCAACAAAATGGTACTCGATTATGACGACTGGGTTTGGGAAAAAAAAAATTATTTCTTGAAAACAGAGATACAATTATCATTTGTACATTTTTCAAAAGTGTTTTATGGAAAATTGAAAAAAAAAATATTTATTTCATCAGATTCGTAATGTAATATCGTATCGATTAGCGTTTTTTTTTTTTTTTTTGATTTGCACCCCAGTATAGTCGACAAAGACGTTGCTCTACATCAAAAAAAGAAAAAAAAAATGACAAGGTTTCGATCTTAATCAGGGTCAACCCTTTAACATCGTCATTGGATAAAATTTTGCATCTCCTGACGACAGTTTCTGCAACAGCAGCTGGTATCAGTCTCGGGTGTACTCCTACTTAACAGCAGGTTTGAGTTCCCACTGTCTAGCAGGAACTTTTTGATCACTTCGTTGTAACGGAAGAGGAGTACTTCAAAGGCATTCACTACACTAAAGATGTCAATGTCATTCAAGCCGGTGTTGTATGCCTCCTTGATGGCTAGATAGATGTGTTTCTTTTCCACTATCGATTTTTCCAGGTTCTGGCCCTGCACGTGGCTGGCGATGTTGTAGAGCCATCGTTTGCGGTTGGCTTCCTTTAGAGGACGGTGTTCTACTGAGAAAGGTATTCAATCTGAACAGCTCCAAGGATCGTTGCTCATTACTTTGTTTGGATTTGATTTTGTTTGGAATATAAAATATATTTTTTCATCTGAGAGTTCCATCTTAGTATTATTTTGTTGCTAAGCGAAAGCGAGAAGTCGTATCTGTAGCCAATTGAACTGTTACAAGTGCAGCCAACCAAGCAAAAGACCTGTCAGTGGGTAAAAATAATTCTGATTAGATTGTAGTCTTGCTACCATCCGAAAAATAATACGATGATATTTTAATAAAAATAAAACCATCTTGGATAGCATTAGCATAGCTTGGTATATTGTAAGGTCTTCGTTAACATATCTTCAGTAACGTTTGACTTCAAACTTCAATTCTTACTAATAACAACAATACACAACGAAAGCGGTAAGTCGTTCAAGATGTGAACAACGTTTAGGGTTGGTAGTTCATATTTAAACATTACGTCATGTACCCGCTTATTTTATTTGTCTTCGCGCTTCTCACTTTTATAGGGCTCTAATCAGGACCAACACCTTACGTCCCTCAAACAGATTCGTTCGAAAGATAAAGTATTAGGTTCAACACTAAACATTTTATTCCTAAATTAATCAAACACGTGTATCTTACAGGCTGACCAAATTTATTCATACCAACGAAAAATTACGTTTAGCTAATTGCAATAATCACTTATGATTGTAAACATCCTCAACAAAGAAAACATAAACATCAAAATGATCGAGTTTGAGGAAAAGCAGCAAAAGCATATTCTACCGTTTGACTTGATATTGATCAGTTTCTTGGTTGCTAACCATTTTAAAGCTTATTCCGAATTTCACAAAATGTTGGCTCAAGCAAGCAATTGTAAACAAATATTGAAAAAGTCACGAAAGAGTTCTCATTTTCGCTCTGGAAAAAAGGTGCCATTTGTGAGCGGTGTTGAGAGGATATAAACAAAGGCAAGAAAATTATTTTTTCAAGCAAAAAACTTGAAAATGGCATCATTTCATCTTTATTCAATAGATTTGTTTTTACTGACAGGCTAGGGCCATGACTGGTCCATCTCGCCTAATTGAACCTTTTATATCCAGATTGTTTAATGGTGTACTCGTGCATGCAACATATGGATGAATATTTGGAGTTTTGTGTTCATCTTACAATATTACTTCTCACCAATTACTTTTTAGCTGGAACTTTACATCCATTTAAGGTCAAAAATTATTTCAACCTAAGTGCCCATTTTCGTCCTATTGAGCAGAGATCATTATTTCATGATTTAATTTTCGGCGTTAATAATTCATTTACTCGTTTGGTATGATACTTTTGTCCAACAGCTGCAACACAAAGCCTTTAAGAGCGCAAAATATGAATATTTACACCCTTTGTTCTCAAAGCACTCCACGCGATTTCATTTTTTGATTTCATCCGTAGGGGGAGGAGGGCATAGTGAGCATCCCGCAGTTTGGCCCTGGATCTCTAGCTGCATGAAACAAATCAACTGGTAGTAGGTTCAATATCATTATGATATTGATCCTACCACCAATAAATTTGTTCCGAACGGCCGGAAGTCCAAGCTGGTGCACGGGATGCTCACTATGCCCCACCCAGGCTTCCAAATAGTACAGCCTCCTCGCGACAGTTGGTTTATACCTGAATTGACTGTTGCTTTATGTGCTTTACTACCGCTTGCTACCGTACGTTCAGATCCGAATTCGAAGTGTATTGGCAACAGCGCACGCACGAACGAATGAAAGCTGTATTAGAACAGTCGCATCTATACCCGCTTTGCTAAAATCATCGTGCTTGGAACGTAGTGACACGAATGGGCTGTATTTATACATTTCTTTATGACCAGGTTCTCAATGTTTCTGTCGTCATAACAGCCTTCACAAACCGACGACATCCCTCAGCTTACCCAAATGGCTGTCACGAGACATTATATACAATTGATATACGGCAGTGGAGTATGGAAGAAACCCAGAAGAATGATCCCGAACAGATATGTCGGCCCGATGTCGGATCAATGTAAGGTCAATTTATGGTCGACGTCGGCCAAATGTCGGGTCGATGTAGGGTTAATTATGTGTTTGTGTCGGGTCAATGTCGGACCAACATCGGGTTTGGGTTTGGTAGAAGTCAGGTTGGTGTCGGGTAGGCTTATATTATGAAAATTTTGCAATGGGCAGCACGAACGTGATAGCAACCGAACGAGCTCCGGCGCCACACTGGTAGTGTAGTAGCAGTCTTACGACATACAATCAAAATTTCAAAGGCAGTAGCAATGAATCGGCAGTTTGACGGACTGCTTGTTGTATGTACGAGGAACGTTACGAATGACCATCCGAGGCTGCCATAGCCGAACGAACAAAATACATCGACTAAGAACGAGCTGTCGTGTGCTGCACAAGACGGCAACGTTGCATGTCGTATAACAGCCTCACTGTGGGCTGTCGCTTATAGCTCAATCTCAAGGCTGTCGTAGGAAAAAGAAAGCAACAGCCGTTGGAATACTTTCATGAGGCGGTACTTTTGGTATGCCTGGCCTCACCTGTTCACTATGTCCCTCTTAAGGCCTGCGCACAATGGATAGGTTTTCGGGTTTTTTGACAGTTAGCTCATGCATTATCTGTCAAAAAACCCGAAAACGTATGCATTGTGCGCCGGCCTTTACCCCTATGAGGAAGTAAATCCAATTATGTTCCTATGTATGGGAAAGTGTTGTTTATAGTTTGTGTATGATATTACAGACTGTAAGTTAATAGTTTATAGTTTAAAGTGTATGAATAATATATGTGAACTTACTTCTGATCCATGGAAACTAACGTAAAATCTAGTTTATGTTTCGACTTAAACATATTTTCTTTCTGGGGAATTTCTAACAGACTAGGTGGTCCAAATGGTGTGCAAAATGCAAATAAAGCCAGAGGTGGCTCTTCGACCTTGCGATTTTGACCATGCAATATTTTAACTCGCCCTCGAATGTCTAGCCTCTGTAAAATATAATAAAAAGAATATGGAAATAGAATACTAATTAACAAGTTACACAAGTTAAGGCTTGAATATTGATATGTAACGCAAAGTTATTTTGCCTGATTTACGCTTACTCTGACTTCAGTGTTCTTTCAGTGCTTCCACTGTTGGTACTTGAGAGTTTCTAAGCCTGTACCATTGTTGTATTAGTATATTGTAGAGCAAGTACAATGATTTCCAGGTAAGTCGAGAAACTTTTAACAAGTCCAATTCCTTGATTAGTCCGAGAATCGATTCCGTTGCCTCCGCCATGATGTGCCGTGGCTTAACTGAGAAGAATACTGAGCCAATGCTTATAGTAACGAGTGGTCAATAAAAAATGAGATTTTTTTCAATCATATACCTAGCTAGTAAAAAAAAATTTTTCAACGAATTCAGTATTTTTTTTAATAAAAACATAATGTTTATTCTTCAAAAAACGTCAATGAATATTGGAGAAGGGGCCCTGGTCAGCCGTACGACGCAACTTAGTCGCGATGCTCTCACAAGAGCGCACTGAAATCATTCTCACGGGTGTTCAGTTAGTAGGAACAAATTTTATAAGTTCTAGTAACACATAGCCGTATCTTTCCAAGTGTATCATTTAATTTGATACAATTGTTTTCATTTTATTGAAATCATATCACATATCATTTATAAATTTGCCTCTATGCTAAATGTTCGCTAATTGAAATACCTTTAAGTGAAATGTCTTTTGACTGAAAGTCCGCAAATGGAAACAAGTTTCAGTGAAAGCACCGTCTGTCCAAATTGTGCAATATTAAAATGTCACAAAACGTCATAAATTCTTCCAATAAAAACCAGCACTTCCATGTATTCACTTTAAATGCATTTGAAAACTGGTTTGATGTATGGAATGCAAATACGTAGAGAAAATTTAATATGTTTAAGTTACCGAATATTTGTAAAAAAAAAAGAGTTTAAATATTAGTGCACATTTATCTGTCCAAATTGTGCAGCATCGGATTACGAATCAATACGACGGGAATCAGCGTAATAATTTTTAAGGGTAAATGACGGCTCTGGCAATACTTTTACCTGTTATCAATTAAATAAATTTCATTATCGGTAATTTTTTACATGAGGGTACACAAAGTTTCAGATTACACTAGTTTACAAATAAAAGTAAATAAAATAACTTCAATGTTTGACATATGATCCATAAATCGTGCGCTGAATCGAAAAATGTAGTTAAAGAAAATCTTTTCTAGATATGGCTAAAAACGATATTCCACTTAAAAAAGGTTTGTTAATTAAAATACAAATATCTCCGGCTGTAATAAAGCTATATCAATTATTTTAACACCATGTTGTTTTTTTTTTTGCTAATGTAAGACTAGTGGTATTTTTGTGAATTAATAGTTTGTTTAACATTTTTTAAATTTGTTTTTACATATTTTCAACAAAAATGGATTTCAGCTAAGTTTTTAAGCAAGGTAAATATGTTTTTTTGTAGTGGTTGTGCCAACAATGCCACTAATCTTACTGAAAAATGATGTCCAGTTGATCGAAATCAGATTTGCTTACCTTTAATTTGGCGTTAAAATACACCCGGAGATCTTTTTATTTTGTTGAACAATTTTTTTATTTAAATTTATTTTTTTAGCTGTACCTAGAAAACTATCCTACTGAAAGTTTTTTCAGTCTTCATTTTTGGATTCAGCAGACGATTTTACAAGGGAAATGACCACCAGCGTATAAAGTTCAAATATGCTGTAAACTAGTGTTATCTATTGAGCGCTTGAATTATCAACTTTGAGCGCTTGAGGACCTGACGATAATTGGTAACGATATTACCGAAACTGGCATTTCCTCAATTATAATGCAAAAGTGTTATCAATATTCAAGCCTATCTTTCCACATCAGTGTCATTGTGCCTGATTTAATTCATATGTCCGTGACGAATTGTTTACTTTTCTGTACATCGTATCGTCACGTGCATAATGAATTCATTAAAAATCATTAAGTTAACAATAAAATACTTACCAGAAAGCCTGAAGTATTATCTAGCAAACACCTAAATCTCACGGTAAAACTGCGTTCCAGTAGAGTGGATTTCTCAGGTACTAGGGCATCCGTCAACTGCAATCCGGTTAAGTCGGCTGGCAAAAATGTATTCCACAAAAGTTGCCGCTGTAACTCCTCACGATCCTCGGAATGAACTAACTCGTAGACTGACTGATGCACAATATCAGACTGCATTAAAGGGAATGAATGATAGGTAGTTGTTGAATATATATGCAGTAGTAATCCTATATACAGAGATTCACGGAAATATTATCAGACGATTTGGCAACGTGATTTGTTTTGTTTACAGAAGCTGCCAACACTTGCCGCGTAGCAAAATGTTAGTCGAGTTAGTTTGTTAACGTTGTTGGAATTCTCAGTGAACTGAAGAACTATTTTTGACCTAACCGCGGTCGTAGATTGCAACAAAGTGTAAAAATGTGATATTTTCCGGTTTCCGAAAAACGCTGAACTTTACCAAAAATGACTAGATTTTTGCGGACTACCGTTGGATTTTTGTCTTGTGAGTTCTATGCATTTGTACAGTGTATGTAAAAATGAAAATTATTTAGTGGTATATAGTTAAAATGTAATGCTTTTTCGAGCACACGCTATTGTATTTTGCAAAAGAATCAATACATATTACTGGAAAACAAACATTATTATTGCATACAGCTTTATTGCGCACTTAACACCAAACTGGACAAATAAACGCGTTTTCACTTATTAAAAAGGGTGATAAAAGTGCTAGTTTTCGTCTAGTCGTCTTGGTGTATTCGATGCACTAATTCTCTACGACACAAGCATAAGTGCTCCGAAGACACCGAAACTATTTGACTATTGTATGACACATTTTGCTTTTTTGAGGCTATCCAGTTTCAGATGCAATCAGCAATATTAACCGAGCTTAAGAATCTATAAAAATTATCCATTCATTATTTATTATATCATTGGGTTCTTTAATTTTGAAAAATATATCGGTTTTATACATCATCTGAAAGAACTTCGTTTTCTGAGCACAATGGTATTTTTTTGTTTCGATCCTACAGTCTTTTATCTAGATAATAAAGCAAAGCAAAATAATAACTTCACTGTTTGACACTAAACTAAGACATTGACAGCTCGCTCTCATACATAGTCCCACCGCGGGGCGCTATGATGATGATTTTTGCTAATGTAATTGCATTTATTTAAAATAGTTCCAGGGCACCAAAATTGATGAAATTTTGGATTTCGGTTCCATTTTCATCCGGTTAAGAAAACTAAACCTTAAAGATGGTCAAACAAAACCACCAAGTGGAATAAGTGTCTAAATACTATATGGACATAGTTTGTCACAGATTCATTAGATTTTCAACAAGCAGTTTTATTAATTTATAGCTAAATATGCCTTTTAGGATGAATAAGCTACTATCCAACTAATCTCACCAAATATTGTTGCAAGACTTTCAACAGTCCAAATGGTGCCCAGACATTATAACCGTTAGATAATAACATAGTATTGAATTACACAAAAAAACATTGTTATTAAATATCAACTGTACTCCAATTCTTCCAAGTTCTTCGAATGTACTTCAATATAGAAGCCGTTTTTAGTTCGAAATAGGGTTTTAAAAGCTATTTTTAGATACAATTTGTATAAAGATTTCTGAATATCCTTTTAAGAAACTAAATCTAACTTAATTTTTTTATTGATTTAATTTGATGTTTGTAGATTATTAAAGTCTATCAGGCCTCCTTTAACTCAGTTGGTTAAGGCGCAACTACAAAGCAAGACCACGCAGGAGGTGGCTGGGTTTGATTCCCGGTCCGGTCTAGACATTTTTCGGATTGGAGAATTTCTCGACTTCCCTGGGCATAGAATATGATTGTACTTGACACACAATTATATTAATGCATAAATGGTACAGGCATCGAAAGCTCTCAATTAATAACTGAGAAAGTGCATCTAGAACACTAAGTTGAGAGCACGCAATAAGCTTGAAATGCGAAGACGAAGAAGAGTATCAGAATTAGCATAAGACTTATAATTGTTCTGATTGGACTAATAAACATCAAATATTGGATATAAAAATTACCGAAATAACCGAGGGGTGCGACGCATCTAAATCTCGATTTTAAATGGTCGAAAAATCTCACACTAGCGAATCAATCTACGAAAAATCTTTTTTCATATTTTGCATCTAATCAATCGTGTTTCTATCTATTAAGCGTGAGTGCATCTCACAACAGCAAAGCAAAAAATTCCTGTATCTTAGATAGAGTTGCCCCCCTCGGAAATAACCGGTTATCATGAAAATGTCGAAATAACCTTTAAACCGCCGAAACACCAGAAATGCTCTCACAATCAACCAAACCAGCCTATGATTACGTTAATGACTTTTAGAACTAAAATCGCCTAAAATAGCTTAAAACGCCAAAATGTCTATGAAATTCCTAAAACAACTTTTATAATCTCTTGAAAAACGACAGCTGTCATAAAATTGTCAAAATGTTTCTAAAAATGTCAAAACTGTCAATTATCTGACTTTCTAAACTGGCTTTAAAATGCTAAAATGACCTAGTAAAAGTATAAATTGCATACTAAGTTAGGGTGGAGCTTATCGGGGACATGTTTTCCCATGAGAAAAATTATTATTGGGGTTTATTAAGTAACATATAAAAAATTGAGCTTTTTTCGTTGACATTTAGAGGTCTTAGTCCAAAATATCGAACGATGAGCTTTTTTAAATAAAACATATGCTCCTATGAACACGTGGTTTTCTGATCCAAAATTTTTTGGTCATTTAACGATATCTTCACCCGTTCTTGAGACACTAAATATGGCATAGCGATGAACTTACGCTTACATATTGATATATCGAAATCAGTTTAATTGTTGATATGTTACATAAAACATGTTCCCGAACGATTTTTAAAAATAAACCCCACCCTAATACTAGGCTATACCTTTTTCAGCTATTTTCTCTGGCTGACATTCAACCAGAAAATTTACATTTAACTCCAGGAATGTTCCAAACAATCTTCAAAGTTGCATTTATTATCAAATGTTAAATTCAGTCCTCTATATCCGTGATACACGAGGCTCAATCCCTTGTAGACTACTCAAAATTATTATGTTTCAAACTACTACTACCTATAAAATCAAATATCATCATCACCATCGTGGCGACAAAATATGTTTTGCAGTGCTACAATAATTTTTAAAAAGTCGTTATGACAACTATCCATACAAAATAATCCGTTAGAGATAACTTCGTCAAGATACATAATTTTTCAATTCATAAAAAAAACACTGGATAACTGTTCAAAATACTGCTGGTGGTGTTGTTGCACGTTTAATGTGTCTAGGCAGCGAATTGAAAACATTTATTCTTTTAAAATACAATGAATTCTGTGTCAAGAAATGTGGTGTTCTTCTATCTATGACAATCATTTCCTCTTTCAATTCGATCACACAAATATCTAGGCAGCAAACAGTTAACTATTAAAAAAAAATGTTAATGCAGAAATTGTACCTTACTGACTGTTATTATCAGCAGGTTTGGATAAAGATTTTTAATTGATTGGAAACGTTTAGCTTTTGATACGTGTTGTTTAAAACGAAGTTACAAGACCCGTTTAGATTTATGGTTTTTCTTGAAATTTGCACTTATGTATGCAACATCTATATAGCAATTTTCCGTAACATTATATCATTTTTTCACTTGTTTCAGAAGACCAGTCTCCTAAAACTTAATAGTAAACTTAACTTAAAACTTGGAAGTAAATAAAAAGTTTCTAAAGTATTAAACAATCACATATCGACTGTTGCAAGTCACCCCACAGAATAACACATAGAAGAAAAGTTAATTTTTCAAGTACATTCAGATTTGTTTTTAAATATTGTTATGCTAAATAGTATTTACCATTAGATACTGGAATCGTGGATAGAATCGGAATTTGAGGATGTATTCCTATTATTTCGCTGCGACTTACGATTTTCTATGTGGCAAGACACACTGATTATGTCACAAAAAAAAAATATATTATGTTTTTCATTTGTTTAGTTGTCATACACAATAAGCAGAGTGTAGGCAACAAAGGCTCAAGCGTGTTGCAAGTCACCCCGTTTGACGGTATGTAAAACAATGGAAAAAAGTAGAAGAGTCCGTGTCTAGGGGCACGAACGGAAGCTTGACGTAGGACCGCTAGTGAACGTAACAAATATGTTGATCATTTAGTTCTTAACTCTTTCCGTTTTTGAATTGGTGACCCTGAAAAGGGCCGGTTGTATTTCAAATGGGGTCCACACCAGTGCAAGTCGATGCCAACCGGATTCCGGCGGCCTAGTCATGCTGCCTATTGCGGAAAGTCTTTCCTCCGGTCGATATGGGTGTTTTCGTCGTCGTCTGGTCGTCTTTGTATTGGTGCGATGGGCGCTGTTCCACTCATACGTCGTGTCCGATGCTTATCCGAAAGCAAATGACGGAGAAACGATATAGCAAGCGTTTTTATTATCGCTGCTTTTCTCCTTCCTTGCTTTCATTAGTAAAATGGTGAGCGGTCAACCGAGCATTGAGCTCGCTTATGTGAGCATGTGCAATATGTCGTGTGTTCGATTTGCGCTCTACAGTTGCGTCCGTGTTTGGGATTTTTCGTTACATGTCTGAATTTTGATTTTTTTTTTAATGTGGCCCCCAGTATAGAAATGAAAGCAGTAGTCTTACGTCAAAAAATTCTATCTCGCCTTTAGGTGTATTAATCATCGAGATGAAAACATAAAAACAAGTGCATTAGCATATTGATATTGCCAGTTTGACTGAAAACCGATGCAAGCAAACTTTTGACTGGCAGCATTTCTCCCATGAGCAAGTGTAACTTCACATCGGAACTCACTCGTGACTACAGATTGCGACGGCAATACCAAAACTTCTTCGAAGCCATCATCGCACTAAAATGACACTAAGGATTAAGTGCATGAAAATGGTATTTTACACCACCGTGCGGCATCGATCCCGTAAGATAAGTGAGCCAGTTATGAAATATGCACCAGATATAGCACAACCCCATGTACTCAATGGCACTAGATTTTTGCCCTAACTGATGCACTTCTCCATAGTTTAGCAATGTTCGGATAAAGACGGATTAATCTACTTCATGGGTTTTTTGTCCACCAAAAGATAATTTGGGTACTTACATTCCTAAATCGGTTGATTTGAAAATATTCTCACGGAGAAAATATTTGCTGCATTTTTACATAGGGAGGTTTTATCTTTGTGCCGTCCCTTACTATTTTTTATGGGAAATGATGACAAAATTGAATATAGTATTTCTGTCCATGGACTTTGTTCCGTGTAAGATGAGTAAATGTTTGCAATGGATTCTAATCATTGAGCGCATTAACGAGTTAGAGGATCTTCATTATTGCTCAGTTGCCAAAGTCAGTGGCTTTACATGAATTTAATGAAATTTATTAATAAATCATGCCTTTGAAAGAAGCACACATCAGTAGGTTGCATTTGAGAAAACAAAAAAACTGACTCTGCACATGTACAAATGAAGCATCATCGGTTATCGTCGATAAAGGCTAAAACAGCATCATTCCAACATCGCTCGTAACAAATTGACTGCTTAAATTGAATGTTTCTGCACCGGTGTTTGCTGCGAATCCATGTTTTGGATCGCGTTATTCGGCAACGAGCACTCCCTGCCGAGTTTTTATCATGTATGTGGTGCAAGGCAGAATATTATTTATGCGACCACGTGATCTTGTTAGTCCTTTTGAATCATGCAGATTTCAAAAATAAGAAATATGTGCTGATAGCGCAGTTCATCGGAGTAATAAAATAGTTGAGGATAATTAAAATGAAATTGAAAACTTCATACTTCACGATAATTTAATGGAATTGGATGGATTATATTTCGCTGGTATAGGAAAATAGGAACAAGCTGATTCTAATCTGAGTGTAGTGGTAAGCCCGAGATTGAAGCATATGCCGAATGTAGATCTGAAACCCCTTTGTTGAACATTTTAGAGCAAGAATCATTATGATATCCTAATTTGGGTGTTTCATACACAGTTCGAAATAGTATGTAGAGTAAATTTCTGTTCAATATGATGCACATAAGTGGAGCGTCACACATTATATGGGTCATTTCAGCTCAAGTGGGTACACCACCTGTGGTCGATGTCACCGATTTGAGCCAAACTTGGCCAAAACACTTATTTTGGCATTCTGAACAAACGCCTTTTTTGATTTTGCTTTGAAGTGCCTAGATCCATCTAGACGTCAATTTAAAGGTTTTTTAATGTAGATTCACATAGATCTACCCACATTTTGTTTTTGTTATAGTAACTACAGTAAACAGACTGATTACCGGCAGGTATCGAAATTATCAAAAAATTGTCTATTTTCACCATGGGCGGGATTTTTTATTTCTTAATATTTTGGGCTCAAATTTTCACCACACTTTTAAAAACTCTTGTCCAAGGGCAAATGATTTGGACAAATAGTTTTTGAGATATGATCAGATGAGTGGGTGGTAGCTGGTGGAAAATCAATGCTATTTAATTTATTTTTTATTTTTTCTTGAATTCCTTCACGCCGATGGAGCTCATTATATGAAATCTTAACTAGCTCATTTCTTCACTTCTGTCCATAATTTAATTACGAAAAATACGTTCCTATGGGATACAGTCAAAACGTTGTGCTTCAGAAGTCAGATGAAATCAGATAGATTAGCAGGTACATATAGAAAATTTCAGTTGTGGATGACAGCTGCTACTTGAATAATAGTTATAAGTTAAGTTTATATAAGTTTTCATTATAAATCGTGTAATGTTATGATACATTTAATGAAATGTTGCGAATATTATATACAAAAGTCCATACTTGTAAACAATATTACTTACAAGTTGCTCATTTGCGTTTACGTGGATGAATATTTACATCACAATTAAAATCCAGAATTGTTTTCTGTGTACGTATAGATCGAATATTTTATTTTATCGTACACTTTTGAGGTATTTATTGATTTATATGTAGGGTAAGATGGGTCAGTTAGCACTTTTTTCCTTTGATTTGTTTTCCGTCGATCTGTTTTCCGTACTAATTACCAGTGGTACCGACGCCAGGGAGGCAGCTCCCACACCTGGACCCTACCTATCGACCCGTCAACTCATGGACCGAGGACCACCGGCTTACTTTCTTTCAGAGATGTTATCCCAAGTAACATTGCAGGTTTTATCGAGGTTTTATAGCATTCTACAAGTCTAAATCATGGTCTACACAACCCTCATAAAACCAAAATTGTTACTTGGGATGCCGCATTATTAGTACAATTATTAATTTATTTGGTTGTCAAAATCGTCAGATTCCATGCAGCCGCTATAATAGTCTACTTTTTCAAACCAGCATTGAGGCTACATTGAGCCTGTTGATGTTGACAGTCAAAAACATGAGTAAATAAAGTAGATGACTCGTCTTGCCCGGTGACCCATCTTGCTCCACCTTACCCACGTAGATAATTTTTTAAAATGTATAATTATATAAATTATACATTAAATGAGAGCAAAACTCAATTTTAACAAGACGTTTGGTTGCTGAGTCTCGGAAAATGCTTTGCTGAATCTCAACAAACAAACGTCATGTTTGCTGAGATCTCAAAAAAAATTGCATCTCAGTTAAAATTAGCGAACTGTCGAAAAAAACTAAGCGTGTACACACTTTTCACTAAATAATAATCAATTATAGTTTGATTATTGTTTAATTTTTAGCTTTAAGGATTAAATATACAAAGTGACTCACCTGATGGAATCCCAAATAGCTTTCAATGGTGTGCGTAGCGAAGAATACTTCACCTTCACAAGTTAAGATGATAATGAAACCGTTCAATGCCTAAAAAACAAATTGCAGTTAGTTATTGCATATCTTTGTTATACATCTCATCTCCACGACAAAACTTAAATAATTTTCTGCTTTAAAACGAAGCACGTAATATTACCATGCAAATTGTTAAATTTTAACCAAAAACATTTAAGCTTTTCCTGTTAAATTTTGCGTAACCTTTTCTACCTATCAAAATTGATACTACAGTATCGACAGCTTTAAACCTCTAATCGATCAAATTATGAATTCTAATAAATTATGATTTTGTAAAAGTTTTGCATAGGTACATTCTTATTTTTATGCTATTCAAAAATGCATTGAGGGTTTTCAGAAAATTATGATCAACCTTTACAAAACAAAACTAGAATTAATTCCTGATCTGTTTCATCAAAATCGGCCAACAACCGAGGTAATTGGAACAATACAATTATATTCAGGAGAAAGAGGTACGTATAAATTAAACAAAATAAACTAGAAAGCTAAATTTTTGTGGCATCTTTGGTATGTTAGATACCACGAACAGTAAAGGCCCACGTTGTTTTTTTTTTTTTTTCATTTGTGGCAATTCTGTCAGTTCGATAATATATTTGGCTGTCAGTTTGCCGCAACGTCTCACCAACGGGTGCAATGTGCGCGGGCTTAAATCTGTTAAAAAAAGCGAAAAAAAAAATGTTTCAATGAAATGCCACGATTTCTTCACAACCCGAGCAGGAAATAATATCTCGATACCTTTAATTGGTATGGATGAGCCTGACATAAGAGGTAAAATACAAAAAAAAAATGTTCCCACAATACCATTCCACCATACCACCCAGGTATTCTTTTGGTATCCAAATATCAATTTTTGGTATTTACAATTATTTAGCATGTAATTTTTTGGTATTATTCTTTGGTATTTTACCTCTTATGTCATGCTGATCAATACCAAATTTAGGTAACAGATCAGAATTAGGTATTCATTAGTTATTTTCTCTTGATCGGGAACCGGGTAAATTCTAAACAACTCTACACACTTAAAAATCAATTTTTAAATTTAGGTGTTCTGAGACGAGCGTATACGAGCGCTTATTTTGACATAAAACTGAGTCGTAATATACGCGAAATTCAGCTCAATCAAACGTACTTTCGAACTTCTCAGTCTCGGAGAAATTAATTTTACATGGCATGTTTGTTTACGTCTCATCCATTATGTCAAAGATGGATTCTGTCACGTGTAAGATTGAGCATTTTTTTTTTATTATTATAGTCACTTTACCGCTCTTGGGTCATTCGTGACTTGTCCGGGGGTGAGATTTGAACTCGTGACTTTGGCGTGAGAGGTATGGATGCTAACCACTACGCCGGGGTCGCCCCCTAAGATTAGGTATTTCAAAGTGTGTAGACTAGCTTCCCAAGCCTCAGTTGCTATTTTTGGATGTATTCCAGCCACCGTGCATTTCGGATATACTCAGGGAAGTGACCAAAGTCTGTCCTGAACCAAAACTCAAATGCGACACAACAACCCACATGAGAACTCAATATCATGTATGGCTGCCAAGCAAAGCTGGAGATCAAATTGAAATCAAAATTTGCTGTTATGTTCTAACTTTTTTTACGGTTATTAGTCAATGGTCGAAAGTCTTTTTAAAAAAGAAACCTAACCTTAGCTGGATTAACTGTTAACACAGCAAAACTGAGAGCATAATTTTACATTGTTGAATAAAACAGATCCTGCTTTCAATGACTTCAGTTTGATTACCGATGTTGAATTAATAATATTTAACTGAATACTGGCTTGGCGTAAATGCTTACCATCACGCAGAAAGATTTGAGTTCAACTTCAGACAAGTCTTTAATGACCTATAATGTGTTAAACAAAACAAACAAACAAGCAATAGTCGTTCGCAGTCCGCATCGTGCTCTCTTGCCGTGCGGATCTATTTGCTTTTTGCTGAAGGAAGTGTTACTACTACCTAAAGCTACAACAAATTTAAACAGCACTTTTCAGTGCTCAACCTGTAAAAATTTTCTACCTTGTTCAACTCTTATTCCTCTTCGATCCTTGTTTGGACCCTACCCGAGGTAATCCTTCTTGGATATCGATTTGGAAAATTCCTCTTCGATCCTTCAGATTCTTATAGTAATCTGCTTGGAAGTCGATTTGGATAAAAATTTACTGCCGCCATGGCGCCTAAACGCAAAAGAAAGGGGCAAACTCTTGACCCCCCTTCTGATGAAATTAATTTGAGTAATCAATTTGATTTGCTCACGGATGATGAGAATGATCCATTATCCAAGAAAAATTCTAGTAAACTTTCCCGGCTTAATGCCAAGAAGGAAAAGATTCCCCCTATTGTGATAACCACTACCGATTTCCATGCTCTTCGCATGGAACTTTTGAATTTCGTGAAAGTTAAGTTTTCACTACAAATTGGACGTCGGGGTGAATGCCGTGTATTGGCTGAAACCTTGGACGGATTTAAATGTCTTCTCAAGTATCTTACTGAGAAGAAGCACAAATTTTTTACTTACGACACCAAAACTGAACGTGTGTTCAAGGTTGTCATGAAAGGACTGCCCAGTGGTGAATCCCTGGATCAGATCAAAGATGAACTGGCAAAATTACTTGGAGTTGTGCCACTCCAAGTAATCAAAATGAAAATGAAATCCCGTCCTGGCGATTCGCGCAACGGGATTTCTAATGATTTTTATTTAGTTCACTTCAAGTCTAGTGAACTAAACAACCTTAAGGCCTTAGAAAAAGCTAGCCTTATGCTCCATGTCCGAGTGAAGTGGGAACACTTCAGGAAGACTGGAGGAAATTTCCAAAACCTCACCCAGTGCCGTAAGTGCCAGGGATGGGGTCACGGAACTAAAAATTGCTACATGCCAGCTAAATGCATGAATTGTGGTGATTCCTCTCACGCAAAGGACGACTGTCCTGTGAAAGAAGATCCTAAGAAATTTAAATGTTCAAATTGTGGTGAAAACCACAAATCCAATTTTTGGGAATGTAAGACTCGCAAAGCGATCCTACAATCTCGTTCTAACCGTCATGTAGGAAACGCTCCACGTTTCCGACCAGGTACAAATTCATCTGCTGTTAACAACGGTCAGCGAGGAACAAATTCTACATTCGTACCCGTAGGTACAAATATCTTCCCTGCTTCAAATGTTTCATCTGTACCTACTCCCCTCGCTGCTAACAATGTTCAGCGAGTTAATGGAGCTACCTATGCTGCTATTGCAGCGGGTAGAAATCAAAATACTAACCAACGTTCTAACGGAAATTTTGACAATTTTGACTTAGGAAGCATTACTGCCCCCAAAATGGAATTTTTACAGAATTCATTAATTGACATGATTTCTGATATGCTTAAATCTAACTCCATGTTTGATGCTATTCAAACTGGAGTAAAATTTGCAAATAATATTGTCATGACTTTAAAATTCAGTAATGGATTTTAAAGCATTAAATATTGTAAATTGGAATGCTCGATCTCTTAAAGATAATGAAGACGAGCTATTTAACTTTTTGCGAGTTCATAACGTGCATATTGCCGTTATAACTGAAACGTTCCTTAAACCTGACCATAAGGTTAAGAAGGACGCAAATTACTTGATTTATAGAAATGATCGTCTTGATGGACCCTGTGGTGGCGTTGCCATCATTATTCATAGACGAATCAAACATAAAATTCTTTCTTCATTTGAAACCAAAGTTTTTGAAACTTTGGGAGTTTCTGTTGAAACAAAATTTGGACAACTTACGTTTATAGCTGCCTATTTGCCATTCCAATGCGTAGGCCAGAAAAAGAATTTTCTCAAGGGTGACCTCCAGAAACTTACCCGTCATAGGTCTAAATTCTTCATTATTGGTGATTTTAATTCAAAACACCGCTCATGGAATAATGCTCAAAGCAATTCCAATGGTAATATTCTGTTTGATGATTGTTCTGCAGGTTATTACACTATTCAATATCCAAACAGCCCAACATGCTTTTCTTCTGCAAGAAATCCCTCCACTATTGATTTGGTCTTAACTGATTCATGTCAACTTTGTAGCCAATTGGTTACCCATGCTGACTTCGGTTCTGATCACCTTCCAGTAACTTTTGAAATATCCCAAGAAATAATTTGTAATCCCAACAGCTCTACTTTCAATTACCATAGAGCTGATTGGGAGCAGTATCGAACATTTATGGAATATAACTTCGATCCAACCATTCCTTTGCAAACCAAAGATGAAATTAATTATGCTCTTGAATCTCTGACTACTTCTATAGTTGAAGCAAGAGCTGTCTCAGTACCAAAATGCGAGGTTAAATTCGATTCAATTATAATAGACGATGATCTTCAGCTCTTGATCCGTCTTAAAAATGTCCGTAGAAGACAATATCAAAGAACACGCGATCCTGCCATGAAAGTTATCTGGCGGGATTTGCAAAAACAAATTAAAAAGCGATTCTCTGTCCTGAGGAACAAAACTTTTGAAAATAATATTTCTAAATTAGACCCGAGTTCCAAACCCTTTTGGAAACTCACAAAAATTTTGAAAAAACCTCAAAAGCCTATTCCAGCGCTTAAAGAAGGTGGTAAAATTTTGATCACAAATTTGGAAAAAGCTCAGAAACTTGCTAAGCAATTCGAGAGTTCCCATAATTTCAGTTTGGGTCTTACTAGTCCTATTGAGAATCAGGTTGCTCGGGATTTTCTGAATATTTTCTCTCGGGAAAATATTTTTGATGATTCCTGGGGGACTGATTTGGACGAAGTAAGGTCTATAACTAAAAATTTTCAAAATATGAAAGCTCCAGGTGATGATGGAATTTTCTATATCCTCATCAAAAAACTCCCAGAGAGTACCTTGTCTTTCTTGGTAAAATTATTTAACAGATGTTTCCATTTGGCATACTTTCCTGATAAATGGAAAAATGCAAAAGTTGTTCCAATTTTGAAGCCGGATAAAAATCCAGCTGAAGCTTCTAGCTACCGTCCAATAAGTTTGCTTTCTTCAATAAGTAAACTTT